TTCTCGACGTGTGTGGGGCCACCCAAGATTGTCGCCGCGGTGTCGGGAGGGTTCGTGACGGCGTGCGTAAAGAAAGGGTTTCCTCTTAGTGGGTCGGTCGGGTGCGGCGTGCGTAAAGAAAGGGCCTCCTTAATGGGTTGGTCGGCTCTGTACCTTTAATCTTCGTCCGTTTCCCTTCAATGGTCTTCAAGTGGTAGGCGAACGTAAACACTTTGTATGTGCATGTGCAAAAAAATAATAAAAATAAAAAAGGAAGGACAACGTACACGTACGAGTCAGTCAGAAAAAAGCATTGTCCCAGCTATCAATCTTTGTCACCAAATTCCTCCCGGCTTACTTCTTGGAGGCAGTTGAGTTTTCCGGGGTCCTCGTTGATGCCGGCTATTAATGTTCGAAATTTGAAAATAAATAATGCCTCACGCTTTTCGCGCTCGCGTCTGTTTGAGAAACCGGACTGCAAAAGAGTTACGCTGATATTTTCAAAACTGTGGTTTGGCAGGCGCAGATGTCTAGATAAAGGTAGCTTCGGCAGGGAAGTGGCGTGGTACCGGTGATTATTGAACCGCAGCCGAAATGGCGTGCCTGTTTGGCCGATATATTCTTGTCCGCAGATGTTGCAATGTAGCATGTATATTACGTTACTGGAGTCACAATTAAGGCTTTCAGTTATGCAGAATTTGAAATCCGAGAAGTTCGCTTTGGATTCACGTGTTGTGACCATCTGTGGGCATACCTTGCATCGAGCTTTTCCGCAGGGATGGCACCCTGATTGAAATTTTGGGGTGTTTGTCTTTGCTCTGACAAGAATGTCCTTCAGATTTTTATCCCTACGGTACACCACGCGAGGTGACTTCGCGAAAATAGAAGTTAGTCGTTTGCTTTGCCTGATTATGTTGAAATGGCGGGAAAGTATGTTGTTGATTCGTGGCGCTGATGAGGAGTAAGTTAGTACAAGCTTCGTTTGGGAAATCGTTTTAGATACTCTGTTTGGTCCTTTAATTATATCATTCCTGTTCACGTTGCGAGCACGTAGTATGGCATCGTCAATAATGTCTTCCGGATAACTTTGTTTCAATAAGGAATGCTTTAGGTGTTCCGCGTGTCTGTCGAATTCCCGCATATCGGTGCATATTCTTCGGTACCGGTAGGCCTGAGAATATGGAATACCCGTTTTGCAATGCTTTGGGTGGCTGCTGTTGAAATGTAGGTACATTTGACGGTCTGTAGGCTTTGTGTAAAGGTTTGTTGACAAGCGGTCATTTTTGACCGTGACAGTGACGTCCAAAAAGTTAATGCTAGTTTTGGAAATTTTGTGCGTGAACTTTATTGACGGGTGGCACTTGTTAAAATCCTCTATGAAGCAGAAAAGACTTCCCTCATCATGGTTCCATATCATAAAAATATCGTCTAAGTATCTTCTGTAGTAGAAAGGTTTCAAGGTGCGTCCCTCAATGACTGGGATTTCAAGTGAAGCCATAAAGGTGCTCGCGAAGTTTGGGACCATTTTCGTGCCCATTGCAGTGCCGCTGACGTGAAGGAAATGCTTGCCATTGAACTCAAAATGGTTATAATTTAGTACAAGTTCAAGAAGTGTAAACAGTACCTCGCCACTTACACTAGTTGATGAGTCAGATTTTACATATTCCGAAACCATAGCCGCTATTCCGTCATGGTGGGGTATGTTGGTGTACAGTGAGCAGACGTCCATGGTCACCAGAAAACTGCCGCCTGGGATGTCGAGGCTTGAAGTTTCGCAGATGAAGTGGTTTGTGTCCTTTAGGTAATAGGGAGAATTCGGGGGGATGTTTTTTATTAAGGAATTGATGAATTCTGATATATTTTCTGTTGATGTGCTGTTACTAGATACTATCGGACGTCCCGGATTGCCTGCCTTGTGTATTTTTGGGAGCAAATAGAATCAACCGGGAACAGAATGGGCCGGTAACATTTCTTTTAACATTTTGCCGGTAATTTTCTCGTCCCGGCGGAGATTGTGTAGGGTTACTTTTATCTCCCTTTCAAATTGGGAAGTCGGGTCCGTTGGAAATTCTTTGTAGAATTTTGTGTCTGATAGTTGTAGTTCCCCTTCCTTTAAGTAGTCCGACGTGTTTAGAATTACTATGCAGCCCCCTTTATCAGCCAGTTTGATAGTAATTGCAGTGTTTCTTCGTAGTTCATCGAGTGCCCTTCGTTCTGACTTTGATATGTTGTTTCGAAATGGCCGATTTTTTTCATACGCTCTGATGATACCTTTTTGAACTGCTGATATATACATATCGAGGTGTTTGTCCCTCTTCTCACCTGGACACCATGATTTGTCACCACCAATCAATATATTCTCGTCCGTACAGTCCTTGCGATCATGAGAGAATTCACGGAGGCGGAGATTACGCGCAAAGTTATCGAGGTCTTGGTACAGTTCAAATTTAATGAATCTACCGGATGATGGACAAAAGGTTAAGCCTCTCGACAAAAGTTGAAGCTGAGCGGGTGTGAGTGTTGTGTTTGACAGATTGAGGACATTTTTCTCATAAGTTTTCGGCTGCTCTTGGCTATCACGTGGCACGGGAGTGTCAGCGTCATATTCGAGAGTAAGGATGTTTTGATTAGGATTGCACTGTAGTTTCGAGTTCCCATTTTTCTCCTCAAAGTTAGGTTGTGGTATGGGTGGTCCCTGGCGTTCTCCTACGGCCTCATTCCTATTTTCCTGTTGCAGAGCAGTGGAGCTTCTGCAGTCCCGCTTGAATTTTCTATCTTTTACTACTGAAATTTCGCCTCTCTTTTTTTAGTTCATATCTTTCCAGTTCTCTTGCCTCATGCTCTCCGAGATTAGATACCAATTTCTGCGTGGCCTCCGTGACACTGTATTCGGCGGCCTTACATTGCAACATCTGCGGACAAGAATATATCGGCCGAACAGACACGCCATTTCGGCTGCGGTTCAATAATCCCCGGTACCACACCACTTCACTGCCGAAGCTACCTTTATCTAGACATCTGCGCCTGCCAAACCACAGTTTTGAAAATATCAGCGTAACTCTTTTGCAGTCCGGTTTCTCAAACAGACGCGAGCGCGAAAAAGCGTGAGGCATTATTTATTTTCAAATTTCGAACATTAATAGCCGGCATCAACGAGGACCCCGGAAAACTCAACTGCCTCCGAGAAGTAAGCCGGGAGGAATTTAGTGACAAAGATTGATAGCTGGGACCATGCTTTTTTCTGACTGACTCGTACGTGTACGCTGTCCTTTCTTTTTTTATTTTTATTATTTTTTTCCACATGCACATACAAAGTGTTTACGTTCGCCTACCACTTGAAGACCATTGAAGAGAAACGGACGAAGATTAAAGGTACACAGCCGACCAACCCATTAAGGAGGCCCTTTCTTTACGCACGCCGCACCCCGACCGACCCACTAAGAGGAAACCCTTTCTTTACCCGCGCCGTCACGGACCCTCCCGACACCGCGGCGACAATCTTGGGTGGCCCCACACACGTCGAGAACTGAACAGCACGTGATAAGAACCATATGTGGACGTACACGGACAGTAGATCTCGTTCTCAGTGTTGACAGTGGTGCTTCCTCTTTTTTACTTTCTTTCTTTTCTTTCTTTTTCTTTTTTTCGTCTTTGTTTCTCCCGCCCCCCCTTTTTTTCCTCTCACCCTCGGAGACACCTTTCAAGGCGAGAGGGACGCGGCAGCAACGAAGTTTGGAAGTTCATGTCAGTATAACTCATCCCCTGATGAAGGGAGGACCCCTCCCGAAACTGTTGGGAAATAAATATATTTATCCTTGTTGATAACGCTCCCGTTGTGCCATATCCCATACCTTCACGAAGACTAACTGGCCCATTGAATTATTAATTACTCCCACTATATATATATATATATATATATATATATCCTGCTCAGTCCCTGCGTACCCACTTGGCTACCATTGTTTTAAAGGCTACAGATTATCACTATGCGACATTCGCTTATCCCAATATGTCCAGACGCAACAAGTTTTTTTGATGAAGTCCTGTGAAGTGGCGCCGTGTTTGTCGTCATATTTGCCAAACAAGCGAGCGATAATGACTGAGCACTGCAGGAGCGTTCGGCTGCGTCCTCATGATGAGTGAAAGCTATCTTCTTGGTTGTTGCGTGAACGACAACGTCTATAGTAAATTCCTTGAACTGTGGCTGCCCTGAAGATTATACTCATTATCGTTTTGGTGAAAAGTTTTTGTTGCACTCAATATAAATACTTCAAAAGATCAGAGGTACGCAATTGATTACCATCACATTTTGAGACAGCCTTTTCAATTCTGAAGTTGAAAACTTTTTCTGCGTTTTTTCTTAAAGCATGGTGTCGCATATTAGAGTTTCGCAAAATCTTTTTTTCATTGATGCAATCTCGGAACGTGGAGAATAGGTGTTCAGCTTGAATTAAGGGAACAGACTCTAAATATGAAATGTAACTGTTTATTTTGGACGAACTTGTGGCCAACAAACAAGAAGTAAGATTACAGTGATCCACACTGGCACTAATATCGGCGAACAGAGCGTCAATCATCGGTCAACCGACAAGTGGTGAAGTGCGTCGGCATTTATACGCGTGCCGTCGAACATTCTGGTTTTATCACTACTAGCCACGTAGGTTGCAGAATTAGAAGTGTTGTTGGCGGAGCTTGCGCACTCGTACCAATATGATCTACTACAGTCCTGAAGCTTCTCAAAGACTGCAGGTGCGGTTTGCAGTGAGAATCACGCACAGTGTAACGTGGCAATAACAAAGCTTGAACAAAAGAACGTGGCAATATATCATCAGAAGCAGGTTGGCAGGGCGTCTATTTGCGAATTCACTGACAGATGAAAGACAACGTTATAAAATGATATATCAATAAATTGACGTCTTAGTTGGCAGTTTTACAATGTGACGTATTACTTCTCTTATTGTTTCTTTTTTTCGGGTAATTTAATACTACTATAAATGAGAGCACCTATCTTTTGAGTAATGTGCAGGGCTGCCCGACTTTTTCAACACCCACAGCCATGAGCAGATGTACAGTATTGGTGCTGATGTTCATGTTATGCCTTGCTTGGTAAGTGAAATATGCTTTTAAAGAAGATAGTCTTTCTCGGAACCTTCGACGCGAACATTTTGATCTGTCTGTCTGTACGTTTGTTTGTTTGTCCGCCTTTAACGGTACCCTGACGGCACCAAAATGACCAAACGGTACTCCAAACGGCCGACCCCATCCGCAGCGCCCACCAATATTGCTCAATGTTTAGCGTTCCTACTTGTGCGGTAGTCAATAAAAAAGAAACTATTAACTCATCGGAGGCACCTTAACAACACATCGACATCTTGTATGTATACTTTTTACTAGAAAAGGCAATCACAAGTAATCCTATGGATCATAGCGTTTATCACGCTGCGCTTACAATGCAACGCTTGCACGAAAAATGCAAGTGTTTCCGACGCTTTGCTAAGACGACATGGTGGTGGCACCTACCCGTCACTTTGCGTTCTACACCTCATCACCTAAGAGACAGGCGTGCACGCCGCATGCCCCATTTTCCATGATAACTGTCAAATAGCGCTCATGTCTCACGTGTGACGTGACTTGATGTGCTCGTTCGCATCCACTGCACCCTATAGGCACTCTAACGCAGCGCCTTCAGAATACCATTCAGCACGTTTCTTGCACAGAACATCAAATGAACGTTTTGTTCACTCTGTTCAGACTCAAGACTATCGTCTTTCGACGACATTTCCAGTGTAACATGCATATACGAGGCCAATTTTTTTTATTTACGTCTTGACGAGCACTAGAACATAGTACCTAATATTAGCCCCATTATCGGGCTACAGGTGGCCACACAGCGACCACGCTAGCAATTATAGGCGGAAGGCGGCACGCTTACAAACATACGCAGTGGCACTTCTTTTGCAAGCGTTTGTGAACCGATTGTCACTTAATAAAGTACATTGACTGCAGAGTACTCGTAATATGCATGTAGTGCATAGCCGAATGAATGCACGAAGCTCACTGATCAATACTATTGCTTGTGAGGAAAGCGAAATCTTTCATTGAAAAAGATGTTCGTGCTTGGTGACTGTCTGCGTTTTCGCTCTATGTCACGTTTCTTGTTAATTTTATGTGAGGGTAAAGCTTGTGTCCCACCAATTGCTCACTACTGTAGTGCCACTGAATTTATTTTTCGCTTCTTGCATGCTGACCTCAGGTAATGAAAAAAGAGAATATCGCATGTTCTTGAGAGATTAGCTAAAATAACCGCGAATATGCCTCCACGCTTTCTTATTCAGTTCTTCATAGAATGAACGTAGGAGAGTGATGTAACAAAAGCTCGGTTATTTGAGGTCCCACGAATATTCCTTCTCAAGCGAGTAAGGTCAGCTGATTCCGCCAGTTTATAAAAACGCCACAAAAGCACTGAAGGTAATATAAAAACAGTAACATTTTGAGTTAAATTGGGCAATATAAGTGCAGGTGAGGCTCGTCATCTGGATCAGTTTAGACCATCCGAATTTTACAAACTGAACTCAAATCAGACTTCACTTTAACTATGGGAGGAAGGAGTGTGTCTGTATACATTTTACCCAATGTTAAAATTGCGCATGGCGACTCAAGTTTCATCCCCTCCACGTTATTCTTTTTTGTTCTTTGTCAGGGACAATTTTAACACAGAATTGTCAGAATTCATTAGACAGAAATATTTTGCTGTCATGCAACCAGCACCGTAAATAAAAGGCTTTCTCAACCACTAATAAAGCTCATTGCATAACCGATAAGGAACAGCTAGCTGAAATCAGCACCAAACAACATCGCAAGAGTTCGTTTATCACTGAGGCACTAAAGGCAATTAGACAACATTTATTACTCTTCATGTTGCTGTTGACACCAAGTCCACTTTACGATGTGCTTCAACTAAAGAACGGCACCTACACCGAAACAATCCTGGTTAACGGAGGGTACAACGACGATACACAGCACTCTCGGCAAGTGTCCGAGCTGATCTCATTGCAGGGCCCATAAAGCCGAGCAAGGCTTAATGTGTCTGTAGATTGTGGTAGGCAAACGCACAAGCAGTTAAACTTGCGCTATTCAAGCGGGTCAAACCAGCCATTAAAACAGCATGAAGAACATGCACATGCTAGCTTTATGTGGCTGCCCCACCACGGTGGTCGTATGGCTAAAGTACTCGGCTGCTGACCCGCAGGTCACGGGATATAATCTCGGCTACGGTGCCTGCATTTCCTATGGAGGCGGAAATGTTGTAGGCCCGTGTTCTCAGTTTTGGGTGAACGTTAAAGAACCCCAGGTGGTCGAAATGTCCGGAGCCCTCCACTACGGCATCTCTCGTAATCATATGATGGTTTTGGGACGTTGAACCCCACATATCAATCAGCTTTATGTGGCTAGCAGGCGACGCAAGCAGGATTGTACACTCAAGGCCCCCGAGATCCTTTGTCCCCGCGATGCAATTTAGGTGTGCCAGTGCAATGGTTTCCATGAGCTTGCAGGCAGCAGAGGTGATATAGACAGGCCTGTAGGACGTGATGATGGCGCAAAGGCGGGCAGGTTTTCGGATCGGCGCCACGACAATGGTCATCCCGGCCTCGTTTAGGGTGCCGATCTGCCAGATTTCATTGAAAGTCTGCAACACATTTCGTCGGGATGCTACATCCAGGTTACGCATTACCTGGTACGTAGACCAGGGGAACGAAGGCTCTCGATTCCGGCTAGAGCAACATTTAGTTCGTCTTCCGAAATTGGCTCTTGACACAGAGCTGCAATCTGGCTGGCCGTCCAGACAGGGTGGTGACTTTGCGGTGGCATGAGAGCAGGCATGGCGGCGAGGGCTACTGAATTGGCTGGTGGCAGTTCTGCGAAGCAATCGGCCAGCCGTTATGCCAGTTATTTTGCACTAATGCCCAAGTGGATGGCCACCGCAATGACGGGTTGCCACACCAATGGCCCAGTAATAAAGAATCATAGAAGGTGCCATGCTTTTGCACCACCTCTTGCCTGGCTCAGAGAGTGACAGATGTCCTGCCAGCCTCGCCGCCTTCGACGGTTGGCATGTCGCCGACATATCGCACCCACACGGATAAAGAGTGTATGGTGTGCTGTGTCCGGTGCCTCGAGGTACCATCTCTCAGTCCTGCACTTCGCTGCCCGTAAGTTCAAGTGATGGATTTTTTACTACCCGTAAGTTCAAGTGAGGATGAAGCTCTGGCACCCTGGACTGGGTTGTTACCCCGTGTGCTGCCGCTGCTCCTTAATTCAGGAAATCCTGATCCTCTGGGATATCTCTAAGCTGCTTTCAAAAAAGCAGCTTAGAGACATCCCAGGAAGACAAGGGGAAAGGACCAAATAGGTCCAAGCAAACGCAGAAGAACGGTTTTGACGGAATGTCAAGTGGTTGAAGGCGTCCGGCGGGAAGTGTCGATGGTGCTTTGCGGCGCTTACATTTCTCACAAGCCGCAACGTATCTTCTGACTGAGCGTGCAAGCCCTGGCCAAAAAAAGCGTCGGCGTTTTCGGTCGTAAGTGCATGACACACCAAATCGACCAGCAGTCGGAAAGTCATGAAGTTCATGTAGAACTTCAGAGCGAAGGTGTTTCGGAACGACAAGCAGCAGGGCTGGTTAATCTGGCACAAAACTTTGGTGGTATAATACACCATCGTGGAGCACGAATGAGCGATATGACTGATTGGAAGATGGTGATTCGAGGCGCTCAATGATAGCACGCAAGGACGCATCATGGCGCTGCTTGTCACCGATGCATGTCAATTACGAAAGGAAAAAGATGCAAGGTTTCGTGTCTGTTTCAGACTTATATATAGTGCTCGACTCAGCAACCAGGTAGCGGGACAGGCAGTCTGCGTCCTGATGTAGGCGTCCGGACTTGTACGTCAACGTGTAGGTAAACTCTCTCTTGCAGTGGCAGAGCTTAGCGCCTTAGCCGGCCTGTAGGATCCTTCAGTGACGTAAGCCGACATAGCGCATGATGGTCAGATATCACAGAGAAATTTGTGCCATATAATTATGGGCGAAACATTCAGACTGCCCAAACAAGAACAAGACATTCACAATCTGTAATGAAATAGTGGCGCTCAGCAGCTGTGAGGAGGCGGCTAGCATAAGCGAAAACCCGGTCGTGTCCCCATTGGCGTTGGGCTAGGACAGCTCCGATTCCGTGACCACTAGCATTGGTTCGGACTTCTGTCGCAGCAGATGGGTGAAAAGTAGCCGATATAGATGGAGTCCTCAGTAGCGTGATCAGGTGAGAAAAAGCAGCAGCTTGGTTGGTACCCCACGTAAATGTGACGTCTTAAATCAGAAGCTCAGTGACAGGTTGAGCGATGGTTGCGAAATCTTTCACAAACATTCTAAAATATGAACAAAGTCCTACAAAACTCTGGACGTCTTTGACTGGGGTAGAGCAAAACTGGTGACTGCACGAATTTTCTTTTGGTCCGGCTGCACACCAAAGGCGTCGACAAGGTGGCCCAACACTGTCATTTGCCGGTGTCTGAAGCGGCACTTCGGCGAGTTTCATTGAAGGCCTGCAGTGCGGATATATGCCGGGAATAGCTGACAAAAGCTGAAGGTGGGTCTCAAATCTTGAGGAATATACAACGAAATCGTCAAGATAACAAATACATGTGGACCATTTGAACCCTGGTTGCAGAGAGTCCATCATGCGCTCGAACTTGGCTGGGGCGTTGCATAGCCCAAACGGCATAACCATGAACTGGTATAGGTTGTCTGGAATTACAAACACAGTTTTCTCTCGGTCTTTTTCGTCGACAGCAATCTGCCAGTAGCTGGAATTTAGGTCTATTGAAGAAAAGTATCGGGCGCCGTGGAGACAATCGAGAGCGTCATCGATGCAGGGTAAATGGTAAACGTCCTTTTTCGTCAATCTATTCAGATGGTGGTAATCCACGCAGAAGCGCCACATGCCATCTTTTTTTTTAACGAGCAGAACGGGGGACGTCCAAGGGCTCGAACAGGGTTCAATTATTTCTTTGTCTAGCATCTTGGTGACCTTGTTGAATTACTTTAC